GTGTCAGTTCCTTGAAATCACGCAAAACAAAACACATAGCTACAGAAAATTCTCAAAAGGGAGTTGATTCTCAAAGGAAAAAATTTGCTTTTAAAAGTCAACAGATAAATGACTTAAAGATGGATATTCATGACAGCAGACCCCTACACAGTGCGCTGTAGCTGGCGCTGTGGGAGCACTATGGCCATCAGCCCCGGGTCATGCTCGATCACCAGCGGCTTCCTGCCCTGAACAGGGCACCGCGAGGAGAAAGAGAGAGGGTGATGAGTGTCGAGAACTGCAAAGGGAACAAATACTGAGGCCGGACAGCAGCCCAAGCAGGAAAAACATTTCAGCACCTCAGCTAATGACGGCTGAATTACCACAGCCCCCCTCTCACCTCCCTCCTCCATCCAGTCGAGGAGATTTGTGTGTGTTGAGGGGACTTTTTTTCATAATTTGAGGAGCTAAACGGGATATAAAAAAATGCTTTATGCCATTATTTTGGTAGGAGGGGAAAGAGAGAGTGGTGGAGGATTGCTCATGAGACATTTTGTCCTCTCTTTCTGTATCTGTTGTTCTTTCCTGCTCTCCGTTGGTAATAGATTCCTCGTCTCTATTCAGCAGCACAAAATGAGCCTCTCTGGTGGCAGGGAGAGTGATGAGTACATTCACCTCCATTCTGCTGCACTCTGCTCAGCTCTGAGTGTGCGTCTGTGTGTGCTAAAACAGCTTGTGTGTGTGTGTGTGTGTGTGTGCATCTGCTGTACATATTTATGAATGTGTCTGTGTGCTTAAGCCTATTACTTAACATGTCATTTTTCACACGTGTGTGCCTGGATTAGTTTGTATGAGTGTGCATGCTTGGCTGTACAGGTGGGTGTGTACAGTGGTTCTTGTCACCTAAGACATCCTTCCCCGCATGTGTCTGGATTTTTATTATTCAGTACATGCAACCGTGTGTGTGCGCTTGCATGTGTGTTTGTGGGGAACAATGACGGGTGATGATTTTCTGTGTGCTGCTCCAAGCTGCCTCCCTCCCAACAGTGAAGGTAATCTCATTATTCAGCCCACTTCCTGCTGCTGCCACCAGAGACAGGCTGACGAACACTAACCACCTCGACGGCCAGAGCAGAGAGTGGGGGGGGGGAAGAGAGAGGAGGAGAAAAAGTGCGTGGACGGGTGAAAACTGCGAACAGAAACTTTGCAGAAAAATGGAGGAAGATAAAAGGAGAAATATATGAAAAGAGAAAAAAAAAGCAACAGGAAATTTGCAGAGACAGAAGACATGGACAGAAAAAGCAAGCAAGCAACTGTGCCGACCAAGAAGAACATTCAAATATCAAATTTGTGTGTATGCAGAAGAGAGGAAGGAGGAGAAGGAAAATAGTGAAGGGAGAGGAAGAGCAAGGGACTGAGTCTGTGTATTTAAAGCCATCGGGGACCAGCGGGCTAAATAGAATTACGTGGTGAATTTAGAATGATGCTCCCAAGCGCATATTTAACACTGTCAACAGAGGGAGAGAGAGAATGAAAGGCCCAGATACACACGCACACAATGAGCGAAGCACAGGAGAGAAACTTCATCCCTAAAACCTCTTAATCCAGCATGAATGAGAGTTTCCAGCTCAGCAAAGACGGCTGGGAATAGAGAGGGCGGAGGGGGGTCTCAGGTGAGAAAATGCTCTGATCACACGCTGACGTCACATAAGCTGCTAGCCATGCACACAGAAAATGAAAGTTAAGATGATAGAAGTGAATTCTATATTCTGTGTTGCCTTAATGCCGAATTTATCTAAAAGCAGAGATACATTTTCAGTGAAAAGGTGAAAAAGCCAGTAAGAAAAGCGTGTTGATTGGTGGTGATGATAGGTTGTGGGGTGCCAGTTAACCATGAACTCAGCATTCTGCAGTGTCAAAAGAGTCTGTCACCTTCACGCCTCAACCAAGCGATATCCTCAACAAACACACACACGCCAACAGCTACATATTGTAGATGAACACACACACACACACACACACAACTTGCTGATTTTTCGGAAAACCCACATCACAGCACTGCAGAGGCTAAACTGCTGCCGGAGTGCACTATCATTCAAATGTTTCTCTCAATCGACAAAAAAAACATAGGTATGGTAATTATCATTTCCCCATAATGACATACGTAGTTCTCACTAATCTCTCCCTCCCACCCCTCCAACAGTAGGAACCCCCTCACCAGATGAGGAGCGAGGGGACTCCCTGACCCCCACCCTTCCCCAGCATGTGGGGGGAGGTGGTTAACAGGGAAAGGGATCTCAAATGCAAACAGACAGAGTCCCCTGTTCTTAGATCAGGGGGCCCCCTTGGCCCTCAGTGCCCTGGTTGCCCCTTTCGCCATGGCCCTGGGTATACACACTGGCCACCCTTGGCCCACCTTAAGCACAGACACACATACACACACCCCCACCCCAGCTGTCAAAACCCTGATGTCTTAATCAATCCTAGATCCACAACCCTGTCAGACGCAGCAGTAAGATGGATGCAGAAGGGGGTGACCTCTGACCTCTGCCAGGGGTGGAGAATACAACTCCTACTTGCCCCGTCAGCCCCCCCTCTACCTCTTTTCCCCCAAAACATCGCCAGTCTCAGTCGGCTCCGCTGCTGCCCCAAACAATGATGGAGGAGAGGCCATTCATCCTGGGCTGGGAACCAGGGGCCAAGGTGCCCTTGTAACCCTGCACGAACACAAGACAAGCACAGCCACACAAGTATGCAAACGCACACACTTGCACACACACAATTGGGCTTGTGTGCCCCATAGAAAGCCTTTAAAAAGAAAGTTTTTTAAACCAAATCAAGCCACATAGGGATCGTAGTGTGACCATAGGTTGACACACTCTAATACACTTGTTTAAACTTTTTAATATATCAGAAAAAAACTATCCCTCTCCGAACCCCCTTGGTCAACATGGACCCATAACAGAGGAGCCTCTCTCCCATAGAGTCTGTCACATTGGGGAATATTAACCAGCTCATCAGTGCACTTGAAGACTGACAGTGGCCAGCACCTTTTAACCCTTCAGTCACTGGAGCTGACCCACACTGACACCTCAGGCAACCATGCGGCGTCAAACCCAAGGCATGTTATCCAGTTTCCAAATTGAAAGTGAAATGTTAAGAAACTTTTTAAACAGTGTAATTAAAGCTAAATGTGAATGGAGTGCATGTGTTGGCGCTGTAAACTTAAACAACCTAAAGCAGACGCAGTGATATGTGAACTAAATGGATATATTGGCTTGAAAAGCAATACTGCCAGCTCAGAGGCTGGCAGACAGTATGAGACTGCATTAGTCATATAAAATCAAGGTTTCCAAATCCTTTGTTTCCTAGTTTGGAGAGTAATGGCTGTTTATCTCAACTGAAATTAAAGAGCAAAGATAAGGATACTGTTTCAATGTTGTAGGCAAATGAAAGTTATCATACACAGTATGAGATCAGGGTTCTCATTCTGATTTGAAACAAGATTAGGTTATTATAGCATGAAAGAAAACCAATCCAGGGCAGATTTACCTAAAGTCTGTAACTAACTACTTTCTGGTCTCCTTCCTTCAACACTCCACCTCTCCCTGCTTCTTTGAAGCCAACCCTGGGGACAGAAACCTGGCTGGAGCCATTTGAACCTAGCGACAGGGGAGATGGGCAATATTCCAAGAGAATTCTTACAGCTCAAATTATGTTTTTTGGGGGACAAATACACACACAAACCCATCTGTGACTACTTGTACCCCTTTGCCTCCCCACCCCCAAGCAGCCAGTGGTACCCCTAAATCACCAGACCTGCTTGTCACGCAATTAGTCCTCCAAGATAAAGGCTCCCTCGTAAATTAGGAGAGGTGTAGTAGTCCGTCCCCCTGTTAATCACCCGTGGCCAGCCTCTGACCCCTCACTGCTATGCCTCACTGCTTTTTGTGTGTGATGGTGGTGGGTGGCTGGTGGGGTATACCCAATAAACCATCGTGGCAGAACTGGCATCCGCTTGTCTGGCCAGCTGACAACTGTGCCTCGGCTTGGCAAAATGCTGCATGTGATCCACAAAACAGCTGTGAATACTACAAGATGCTATCCACAATGCACTGCTGCATACCATAAACTAAAATTTACTGTGTGCAATGAAACAAGCCAGTTAAATTACAGTAGAGTCAATCAAAAATGCCATTCATCATAAGAGCCAAAGCTTGAAACAAATTAAATTCAGAAAGATCTATTGGCATTTCTAGGCAATTTTTCTGAATTCACCAACATGCTGAAGGCTCTATAATGCTCCTGATTTAAAAAAAATCTGGGAAGAGGCACTCTGCACTGACCTTAAAACCTCATCAAACAGCCTGGTATAGCATCACGGCGAGCTGAGACTAGAATAATCGTCCACGAAGGGCTATTCCCCCCTACCAAATAGCACTATTTCAACCCCATCTCCCAGCTGTGTATTTTCACTCTTCTCATACCTGCTTGGAATGATAAACTTGTTCTCTCTTCTTCCCTTCCTCTAAAGCTGTCTATCTCTTTTTCCCAGCTTCAGGCTCCATTGGGAATAAGAGAAAGACCAGGTGGGGGTGAAAGACACAGCAGTAGTGCGAACCAGTTGGAGTTCTACCCTCCTCTCCCAGTGTCACCAATTCTCCTGGGATGCATCCCATTGCACAACACCTCCCAGTGGGCCCGCTAATTACTCCATTTACAATCATCATTGCTTCTATCACCCAACCAGACACTAGAAGGAGGACTGCAGAGAGTGGGAGAACGAGGAGGAAAAAAAATATCCAACAGGGTGCGAGTTGGGTAAATGGAGGGAGGGACGAGGGGGAAGGACAAAGAGAACGAAACATAGGGATCAAGACAAAGACACAGAGCAACAAGAGCGGGAAAAATTAAAGAAGTAGGATACTGCACGGACTGGCAGGGTTTGAAGGGAGATAGTGATCTATAAATAGAGAAAGAGTCAGCCCCAAAAAAACACCAGACAAATGTCATTTCTTTACCTTGACATTCTGCATTGCGCTCCTCGTATCCAGGGTTACACAGGCAATTCCCAATGGGTACCAGCCACTCTCCGTCAGCCCCGCAGTACATCTTGGGAACCTCCTTCTCCTCTGAATTATCCACGCATGAGCCACGAACTTCCACAAGTGAAGAGGTATCGGCTCCAGTGATGGTATCGGGAAACTGGGCCAAGTTACGCACCGCTAAAGGACATTTCTTGTAGAAGACCCTGACGGACACAAGCGCAATGCATGCTCCAACATCCTGGAAGGCCAAGTAGAAGCCCTTCCGGGTCAAGGCGCCCACGTCCCGGACTTCTGTGTTCAGCTTCATGATGCGATCGCCGATGTCCACCTGGGTGAAGCTCTCGTCTGCAGCAATGGTATCGATCTTGCCAAACTGGTTCTCACGGATGTAGCGCTCCTTGTCATTGTTGGACTCGTAGTAGTACAGGTTGAAGGTTTCCTTACAGGTTCCCATGACCCCCGGGAGGCTGTTGCAGTCTCGGAGGGTGAACTTGATCTCAATGTAGACACGCTGGGCACCGCCTCGAGGGATCCAGTCAGTGCGGAGCCAGTTGTTCTGGTTTGGCTCCATGACGTTACACACCTGGTACGTCCGGATGGGAATGTTCTTTTCATCCATAATACTCACTTCCTCCCACTAGGGAAAAGACACAACATAAAAAATGTTACAAGGATATTTTTTAACCTTGTAAATTAAGAATAATATTCAGAACAGTAGGAAAATGCTATAACAACATCATGGTAGAATTGTTAACGGTACAGAACATCAGAGAAACACCAAAACCAAATGCTGTCCTATACAAAAAATGGACTATGTAAGTATCACACGACTGGGAGCCAGGAATGAGAGATACTGTGTAAAAGAGCATGCGAAAAAGATTAGTCAATATTTGAGTCTCAGCAGGGCAATTAATTGATGGCTAAACTTAATGCATATTTTATGAATGGCACCTAATTGACTTGTTAAGTCCTAATATAGAATCATAAAGATATTAATATTCATGGCTTCTCCTCAACTGCAAGAAAGGAAATTTGTAATTAGTTCTATGCCTCGGTAATGCCTACAGTTCAATTACTTGGGGAGTGGTATACAAAATCCTCTTCACACACACACACACACACACATACACACACACAGACCTGTATGGTGAAAGAATAAAAACAGGGGATTATGTGCAGGCAAAAACTAAAGGTCTCTGAATCAATGCTAATGATCTAATGTGCGCCTGCTTTACATCAATACACATGCTTACAGAGGCACACATGTTCACTGCGGTTGTTAGTATGAACTCACAGCAGAGAGGGGGAGACGCTGACGTGGTGCGCATGGATTACGTTATCCAGCGCGGCCTGGCTTATTTTTGCCGGGAGGGAATGTATGTTTTACTTATGATAAAGTTCCCCTCTCCACAGATCACTGTCGAGCAAAAACGCATGTCTTAAGAGGCTCAAAGCGGTGTGTTCCTCTACGTTTTTCACCGTGTGTTTTAAATAGACTCTTTGACTGAGCTGGGCTGTAAACAAGAGCAGACAGGCCTTTGGCTGCCGTAGCGTCAAACATTTCAAAAACTGTACAAAGAAGTCATAATGGGACAGTGGGAGATATGGGTTCTGCTGCCAGATTTGATTTGACGCCTTATCATAAACAATCTGGTTTACAGACTTATATCCCTGGACGGGGGTGGGATAATGCTAAACATAGCTGCAGCTGTATGATTTAAGAAAATGTCTGTCATTCCCTGCTGTTCCATTCCACTCTGCTCTCTTCCTTTAGCCTCCCCTTTGTAGTGGAAATCAAGCGCCGCGGAGATAAGGCTGCACCTTTCCCTGATAGCAGGAAAGCGGGAGAATAAGGCCAATTGGTCATAATGAGAGGGTGTATGCAGGCTTGCTGGGGCTGCCAGGACCCTGTCAATCACTTGTTAGTGATAAAATGGTGGAGAGGAGGACCTGAGTGCAGCACCGGCCAAGTTCATTGAGAAAACCTCGCGAGCAGAGCCTGCAACAGCTGCACGAGGTGAAATTCTGTTCCCCTGGGTTCGTATTCATTAGTGGGCATGATTGTTACTAATTTGTATTAATTTTCATAAAACATTAAAAGGCTCGCTTGTGCTCATCATCACATTTCTGTAAGTAGAACAAATGGAGGAGTGACTTCTGGCTGACAAAATACTGTTATTTGTTTAATGTGAACAATTATTAATTTGGGTCATGCCTGACTTTCAAAGATATGGCATTCAAATATAATTTTAGCCATTTCTGTATTATCAAATTGAGGCTTGGTTCAGGCATGTACCTCACATTTCCCTAACCCTCTAATGCCGGTGGCACAGTGTGGGCCCAACTGAGGCACCTATTCTTTCTCTTATCACAGCCACTGTAGATATCCCAATTAGACTGAGGGATCACGCATTTGGTCGACCCTATTCCCCGTCGTTTTATAGCGAGAACCACTCATCCTGCGGCAAGAGCTGAACCCCACTGCACTTTCCCCCTTATTCATCCATTCCAGAGCACCCTCTCTCAGCTGCCAAGTTCCTCTCCCCTCTCCCTCTATTCGACTCAATGGTGGAAAGGGATATAAAGTTTCTCCACAAAGACCGATTCAATCCACCGTCTATTCAGGAAACCTGATGCCCGCTGCAGTATCGGCCCCTGCATCTGACCATTACAGAGTGGTTAGAGAGAAGGGAAGCGAGGAGAAAAGGGGAGCAGGGGCTGGGGGATGAGGGGGGTGCCTATAGACCGATGGTTCTCAAAGTGGATTCCGGGGACCCCATGGGGCCCTGGAGGGAGTTCCAGAGGGTCTCCATATACAACATAATGGCAAACTCTAATTTATCCATATTTTAGTGTAAGATACTGGAAATGATGCCTTGATCTCACCCTGCTCTTAATATCCCTACAGTGCAGACAGCTGCACAATAAATCATCAACAAAGATATTCCCATAAAGGGCTCACCAGGACAGAATCTTATCAAAGAGGGCTGTGTATCTATTTGGCGGTCCACTCCAGAGCTCCTGCCAATAATGGATATTATCTCTCCATTTCTGCTCAATAGGGGACCATGCGTCCTGACAAGGAGACACTTCTTTGCAGTACTTACCCCTCCTTCTGTCGGGTTGGCGACCCATCCCAGCTCCCCCTGTACAGATCTGGAGTCCAGTAACGTGACTGGAAAAACAAGAATGGGAGAAGTGAGCATGCAGTCTCAGTCCATCCATACAACATCAGTATTGGCATGTATAATCCACTTAGTTCTGACACTGAGGAAGAAAAATGGGTTCCAGTTTTTTTTTCCCAAAAAAAGCTTAATGATTAGAAATAACTGTTAAAGCGATTCATCAAGTAGAAAAATATCCTCATGATGAATGTCAGTGGGAGAGGGAGAAAAAACTGTAGGCCAATCTCTCAAATGGTACACTTGTAGATGTGTTGTTGTGCGTATTTCCCTGATGTGCTCAGCGCGGGTCGTTTTGATTGATTTTCGTTAAGAACAGGATTTTTCTACAAATCACAAATGTATTCCCCCAGTGTTTTATAATTATTGTTTTTCGTTTTGCTCAGCATCGGCTAAGCATTTTGATGTGATCGGAATCAATCAGGAAGCCGTCTGCATAAACTTGGTCGTTGAAGAACATAACGCATTTAAAATGCCCCTAACAGACGGGCAGACTATCTTACACAATACTTTCCCTAGAAAAAAGTTTAATTTAACATTAATTTAAAAAAACGCTTGATTGAATTAAATGGCGTATATGTAGATTATCTATTTTTTGGGTTGCTTTGAATTCACTATGGCTAGAACGCTTAATTAACTGCTCAGTATAAATGAATAAATTAGACCGTTATGTAAGTCCACGGTATAAATTATTAGGTACATTACAGACTGATCCATTTTAAATCTAAACCACTTTCATATTTAACTTAACTGAGTCCGTGATGCATCACTGTGGACTGTGCCGAGCGGGGCAGAAACAGAAACAGAATTGTGCGAGAGACAGACTGAATGCATCCGACGGGCTTGTTTTAAATACAATTAATACTTCATTTATTAGTGTTTGCACTGGAAAGTAGGCTATAACCTGTATCGGCCCTAACATTTTGGAACTGGATACACTGCACCCAGGGACCCCGAGCAGGCAACTCTCGTCCCGAAACCTTCCGAGCTCTTGTTTTGTGCAGAACAACCCGTGCTCAATTTAACCAGCTTCCACTTTAATGTCGCTTCTCAGTAAACCGAACACCTTTTATTAACCGCTGGGAACTACTCATTAATTCTGTGTGAAACACCGAGCAGCACATTTTCACTTTTAGAATTGTTTTTTCTGTCATTCCCACAATCACTTTCCAAGAGAACACAGTGTGACAGCAGGAGCGATCACTGAGGACAATTCTGAAATTGATAAATAACGCGCTGCTCGGCCAGTCCTCTACGTGTGCCGGATTTGCGAGTCCTCCACTGACTCGTTATCTACTTCATTTCTGTTCTACAACAACGCGTCCGTTTAGATGCAACGCAACATTAAACTGCTTTTTGAGCACAGATCGGCGTGACCTTCTCTCCTAACAGAGGGATCAGCGCGTATCGAGGCTACAAGTATTCCTGCTCCCAGTCTGTCGGCAGCTGGCAGCTCCAAGCCCGAGCTGAGACCAAAACAGCCGATGCGCATTTGGACAGCCACTTCTCGTTCCAGTTTCGTTCATTTAAAACCCCGCAAAAGTCTCTGCGTAAAGGGGACCGTCGGTGTTTTTCCCAGCATTAAAACTCATCGCGGCTCCACGCGCTCGCAACTAGGGGCCAAGAAGTGAGGCTCCGCAGCGCAAACGCACAGACACGGAGCGGGGATGAACTCAGAAGTCCGCGGCAGTTATTTTCTCCCAGAAACCTTACCTTCATTTGGGGGGTATATCCGTGCCGGCGAAACAAATGTAGAAATCCCAAAAACAAGAAAGGTGGCCGTGAACAAAATCCCTGCCATGAGTGCCATTTGTGTCGTTGTTCCGTTTTTCTCTCCTCTTTTTCTCTCGTTGCTCTTCTCCCAGGTCTTGCTCTCTCTCTCTCTCTCTCTCTCACTCTCTCACTCACTCGCTCTCTCTCCTCTCTCTCTCTCTCCCAGTGGAATATGGATTTGAAGCGGACAGGGGAGAGAGACGCAACGAGCGCACCAGAGCCAGGAGGCGGGTCTACTCCGTGCGCTCTGACGCGGACCCCGTCAATCCATATAGGAAACGTGGGGGGTGGGGGGAAATAATCATTAACTACCCCCTCCCCCTGCCAACCCCAAACGACTCATTCTCATTTACCAGTGGGCACTATATAATCAGAGACACGACGACTTGGTGATAGTGTGAGGTGGCATTTCTCCATGACATTTGCCATGCAGGTACAGAGGCGATGTAAAACTCACCATGACTCTGTGACTCAACGATTGACATTACACAAATAAACTGCGGGGGAAATATCTTGTTAGTCAACAGTGAAAATGAATTTCTCCAAAGAATTCATATTGCGCACCGAGTTTGTTCAGGAAACTAAAGTCCCCTTCACTCACTGCTCCCTCAACTTTAAATGTAAAACACACACTGTTTCTCAACTATATATTCATATGCGTAAAATGTAATGCGTCAGTTTTGTCCTCTGTGTTCCTCAGCAGTCACACTGTGCTGATCCTGCATGTAGTCTGGCTCCAGTCAAGCGCAGCGCTGTCCAAGGTGAGCCGCATCAGACCAAGGTCGCCACCTAGCGGAGATATTGACGCCTGTTCTGCCTCCAAAATTGGATTAAAGAACAAGCATGAGCATGACCTCCCTAACATTACATGGTATTGCACTTTGTGAAATTGACAATGCCTGTTTTGTGATCGGTGGCGAGCTTGTATTGGATTATTGTCCTTTGCTATTATTCTAATATTATCAAGGCTTTAAGGGCCTTAAGGATGAAATGTGCACAGCTCTGGCAGGTTATAGAGCAGGCCTGGTGTTGCTGGGCTGCAAAGGTGAATGATGTGCAGGAATTGATGTGACTTCTGCAGTTCTTTCTTGAAACAAAGGCTGCATTGTTCATGTTTTAGAAAAGCCAGCTGTGTCCAGGTTTGGGGTTTTGCCCAAGGTGCTCTCACTCTTTTATGTCCTCCTACACAGGTCTTCTATTGCTCCCATGAGATGTGCCTGTCGCTGCGGCAGGCAGGCAACCTTTCAGTGATCTGCAGAGGAGGTTGTCACCGTGTGGGCAGGTTAGGGCGTTCTGCATCAGCACACACTGCAGCCAGTGACTACAGATGGGTTTCCACAACCACAACCAGCACCTTTATAATATTGTGTCTCCTTTATAGTGGAATGCACAGATTACAGAGACAGTGATTCATCCGGAAAACAGCTGAAGTGTCCTTGGGCAAGACATTAAATCCCTATCAATTGTAGGACTGTTGATCCTTTCTGACGACGGGGAGTCAAAACCTAATTCCTTCATAGGAATCCAAACAGTGTCTCAGTATTGTTTTTCCTGATGTGAAACATACACTCTTTACACTGTAAATAAAACTGCGTGGAGTTTGAATTTAGGTGGCTTCATGTGTCTTCAGAAATATATCTGTGCAGGCTATAAGATGTTTTCCTCACACTCAGCAGGTGCCCATATGTCCTTTTTCATCTCATTACAGCGGCATACATATGTGAATGTGTCTTTGTTTGAAAATATTGTCTGTAGCCTCTAGCACCCATGTTTGGCAGATCCCAAGCGCTCTAGTTCCCATGCCTTTTTGTAGCTGTCACACCAACCTCAGGCTTCCAAGACTTGGCTACAATATATTTATTTCTGCCCATACAAGGAAACATCTAGGAGTTTTCTCATAGGGGTGATCTCACTGTGAATAGACCTGCCTTTGTCTCAAATACATCTACAGACATAGTGTGGCTTTGTTTTTGCCTCGCAGATGCCACTCAAAGAAAGAGAGAGTATAGTTTTTTTTATGTGTAACTGGTCTGAGAAGTCGTGATGAAATTATGTTAGGTCAAGAAGACTGAGGCAGATTTAGGAAAAGATGGAGAGAGGTGTGTGTGGGTTTATGAGAGTCTCCTGGGACGGGACACTGTGCCTTTGTGGGGTTATGGTCTCGCTTGCGGAAGTATCTCTACTGGCGTAATGAAGCAGACAAAGCACCCGGTGCTCTCCCGAAATTGGCCAATTTACCCCCGAACATCGATTGTCCAAAACTACATCCCCAGCTGAAGGGCACTTCCCCTGTTCTCTCCCCTGACGACAAGCTTGGCAACCTTAAAAAGCCAATGGGGGACCTGGAGGGCCACTTTTGATCTTTTTCAACTGATGGCAAAAACGTTTTGTGGACTGATGAGGATGGACCGTGATGGTGGTCGGCACAGGGTGGGAGTGGGCGGGTTGTGTTTCTTGTCTTCTTTTATTTATGTCACAGTGTTTTTGATTGATTACACTCCCATAGTTTCCTTTATCTTCCTGTCAAACCACCGGCTTTTTTTTAAGGGGGGAAGTGGCAGAGCACTCCCCCCTCCATTCCCCTCCTTCGACCGCCCCACTCCGCTTTCTCCAGATGGCATCTGCTGCCCACACATCTGCATTGTGTGCCAATCACGCACACCGACTCCAAATCCTTTGTTTGAGCAGACACGCACACACACAAGCTCACTCAAATAAAGTCATACAAACTTGTGTTATAGACTGATTTGATCATATTTGGGGCTTCTATTGCCTTTGATAAAAACTAGATATCAATCAGTTCTGTGCTGCTCTAACATGGTGGATGTTTTTCTGAGCCTTTTCTAACCTACTATTTTCAAAATATACACCTTATGTTAACCAGCAACAAGAAACCTCTTAACTGGAATAGTTAAACTTCCTGTCTGCATCAAACATGAGGATGCATCACATTTGATCATTGATTTGACTAATTTTACAACAGGACGGCCATAGCTGGAGGGGAATAATAGGCTTTCTTCCACAGCCACCTTACAAACATGTAAGTGTCCTCCCTGATATAACCTGGGCAGTGAGCATGTGAGGACCTGAAGAGAAGGATGTAACAATACCTTTCTTCTCCAAAGGGAGCATTTTTACACCTTTACACTTCAGCCTTTGACACAAAGAGGACTAATTTAAGAGTCTGACTCTTACTTTAAACTGAGATTTAGTAAATGTAGACATTGTGGGTAGAGCAGCTTGACGAAAACCTACGTGTGTTAGTGTGTGTAAATATGATGTATGTGCCTAGAGTTCTTATGTTTGAATATGTTTTTAATGCTTTTCATCAGGTTCAATACTTGAATGTTCCCTTTCATATAACTTAAAGCTATTTTGTATTTTTCTGATTCAGCCTATTTGACATTTTTTTATTTGTATGCCTATATTTGGTGCATTGTATATGCTGTTTGTTTGTGGTTGATTTAATTGTGTACTTAATGAATTTTCAATTGTTTTGATATGATTATGCTGAGCAGGTTGGATAGTTAACCACAACTGTCAGCATATAGAGCCTATCAACCTGTTGGCATATCTATATGGGTGTGATAATCATCAACATTTGACCTGACAAAAATCCAACTGCGATTGAAACATTGTTTACTAATGTTATTATTCAGGCTGTTTTCCAATAGCCATGTGATATGTGTATAACCACAGACTTCACAAATGCACTGTCATGCTGAAAGGCCTCAGAACTCTCGATGACAAAAACATCAAGCTACTGTAATCTAACCTGATAACGCTTTAAGTAACTTTGTGCCAAAGATGGTCTTTTTAATCCGATGTCCTCCCTGGAAGTGGCGATGTCAGGCCTTATATTCTCCTCACAAATGTGACCTGTTTTTCCACCTTTTATAAATTTATAGTAGGCTATGGGAAGCAGTCAGGACCTAGACTTTTGACTGTTTACTATAGTCGGCCATAGCACCTAGAAGCTAAGAGATTGAATATCAGCACATATTATCAGCTACCAGCCTCAGTTCCAGGGATCGAGCTCAATCTTTCACATCACATTCAGGAAGCGCACCACACATTTATTGACAACAAAGCAAAAACCTCCAACCCCCCTCTTCCTTCATACAGTTTGGGCCATTGTTTCAACTAAAGTCCCTAAAGTCCCTCCTGCTGGCCAGTGACCCCCCCAGGCTACGGGCCCTGCCCACCGCCTTCGGATCCCCAGCTTCACGCGGTGTTCCTCGGCACTGCAGTCAGGAAGACAGTCCCTGGAGGTCAGAGCGAGTGGGAGTCGGAGGAGACCAGAGCAGTAAGAGAAAAGGAGATCAAAGGAGCAGTGGGAGAGCAGCTCTGAACGGGAATGTATAAGATAAAATCCGCTGAACTGGAAATACTGCTCACACAAGCTATAGACACTTGTTTTGTATATTAAAACATGGTGAGGCTTGTTTTTATCTTTGCTTATGATCATCCAAATCTCCTGAGGACCTTTCACAGTCACATAAATCTCCCATTAATTTAGCCAACTCATTTTAACTCCATTATTATAACATGAACTGCTGATGATCCATTTCAAACTTATAAAACTGTCATCAGTGTTAGTATATTATCTTCAGAACTCTCTATTAATTGTCTTTCTATATCCCCTATTATACTCTCCTCTTCAGTACATACCCTATATCTATTTTCAGCATTTCTTCTTACGCTTTCTCGACTATTTCACAGTTACAGCACTCATAAAGCCTGTCCACTGTTTACTCTTTATCTCCTCAAGACAGCCTTTGGAAAGGTTTACGAAACATAATGTCTGACTCGCACCATGTCTGTGTTTATCTACCAAACCGCTGCTTGACCAGTCACTTTCCTTTTCTATTTACATTTACATTGAAATGTAAGGCACTTGGATGCTGTCATCCACAGCGATTTACAAACCTGCTCAGTATTCAGGATTAAGACAACGCCATCAGTTCGACAGAGGGTGTGGATTTGTTGGCAATCAGATGTACTGCTCTCATTGTATTTCCTTTGGGTGTTTGGACTTCAAGAGATAAAAAAAATATGTCTCACATTTTTTAATATCTTCCAGTCTGAAGTCTCTTCCTGTGACATTTCTAAACAAACTGACATGGCTGTCTGAGCAGTTAAACCACAACTCGCTAACC